GGGAGAACAAGAGGCCACGGATACTCGAGCAAGGTGCCTCTACCACTCATAGCCCCCAAACCGAACAACCTGAGACTATCATCAACCAACCACCACCATCCCCTTGCCAAAACCAAGCCTATATCTCTAGCGTGGTCGAGCTAGACAAAACATCCCGAGGCATATCTCCCAGAGATACTGTTCGAGGAGGGGATGGAAGTCCTGATGATGCTACCACTGGTACATCCTTCACATCAGGTCATCAGTTGGAACCTAGTTCTAAGCTGATGTCAACGGGCAATCCAAGTGAACCCGGCAGAGCTACCAAGGAACAATCACCGCCTCAAAAGCAGCAAAGAGTTCCATACATCCCCCCAGGCAAAGACATCCATGATGCACTGGAGGAGGCGGTGATATACGACAAATGGCCGAGACAATGGACAGAATGGGATGATCTCCGGAATGAGGCTGAACAAGAGGACATGCAAAGAAACTGGTGGCTATGAGAGCTTATTAACAAATGCTCTGAAGATATCATTAGACTTGAGGACGATGAACGCAAGGAAGAGGAGAACTACAAGGAATCCCAGAAAGCTCTTGAATCGGTCGTAAGACAATCAGCGGGAAGACTTCCCAAGACAGAGAAACCCTGGGACAACGTTCGCATCAAAGCCCCCTTCCAAGAAGAAATCAGAAAGCATATCTGGCGTAGACCAGACAAAGTCAAGCCACTGAACGAACTGAAGCTAAGAGGCCTTACTCACTTGAAAGGAAAGCAGGCTGGAGGTCATCTGCATATGTTGCTTCAAAGGTCAACCGGTACACAGAGAGAACTGATGGAACAAGATCTGAAGTCGAATATTCTCCCGATTCATCAAATTCTGCAAGTGAAGGCTGAAGACTACCATGGAGTAACATTCTACACTTACAGACTTCAACGCACCGATGGGAGCGAATTTACTTGTCAAGAGAACGACTTCATCATGCTGAAACCGGATGACATCTACCAAATGCTCATGGCCTACAGATACCTTCCAGTCAGACAGAGCATAGTATACAGCGAAGGCCTCGCAGCTATCAAGAGATTCATGCTCAGACAAATCCGAGTACATTCTTCACATGACCTACAGATGGCTATTGAATGCAATCTGAAGAAGACAAATCTGACACAGCCAAAATTGTATGGTCCAGAACTTGAAGATTTCCCAGCCTACCACATCTTCTTCACACCGCCAGCAGTCACCTATCTGAACCACAAGAACGAAAAGCGTCTGATGGTAGTCAGTGAAATCGAGAAGTACTGCGACGGAACACTGAAGATAATCAGAGAGCAGATTCTACAGATAAAGGCAAAGCTGGAAGAAAATCTTCAAGAGGCATCGTCTTATGTTCAAAAGGAACACTCTACTGTAGAGAAAATTTTAAAGGCCATTGACGATCGCCTCGAAAAGAGAAATATGCTGAGGCAGTATGAACATGCACTTGGTTTGAGGAAGCACTACTTCAAATCACAGAAGCAATAAGAGAATGGCACTTGATCACAAAGGGGGAGATTGTTGGAGATATTTTATTGTGAATCAAGTTGGTCATAGATTAGCTTTATATTGTATTTAAATAGTGCATAAATTAGATAGAAATCAGGCCAAGTGTTAGGCCCATTTAAACAGGCCAAAAGCCTGGTACGCCTAACCTAAACCTCGCCTATAAAAAGGGAGCCGAGGTTTAGGAAAAGGTTGAACGTCGTACTTATTATTCATAGCCTTACGCTTATCATTCTGCTGTACGTTCCACGGTTTATCAAAGAAGGTTTTACGGTGATTCATTCTGTGTTCATCTTTACGTTTAATCTTCCTTGTTAGATCGATTATTCATTGCTGTTACAGAAACAGGGACTAACAAAATATAAGATGTGGTCTTGCTCCGAATAGCCATGATATGGGCAGTTTGCACATAGTTTCTTGAATCGTTCCCAATATTCATAGAGCGATTCATCATCCTTATGCTCCACGTTGCTAATTTGCTTTTTTAGAGAGGAGGAGACAGAGGCAGGGTAATACCTTTCCAGGAACGCTTTCTTCATGGCCGCCCATGTACCTATACTTCCTGAAGGAAGATAGAATAGCCAATCCTTTGCGGTATCCTTCAGTGAAAATGGAAACGCCCGCAGTTTGATTTGTTCTTCTGTCACACCGTTTGGGCACATGCTTGTGCAAACGACGTGGAACTCCGATAGGTGTTTGTTCGGGTCCTCTCCCCTCAGGCCATGGAAAGATGGCAGCAGATGAATGAGCCCAGATTTTAGCTCAAACGTATTACCCTCATCAAGTGTAGGGAAGGTAATACACAGTGGTTGTTGGTTGAGGTTTGGAGCTGTGAGCTCCCTCAGCGTTCTTGTTTCAAGAGCCATTGTGGTTGGCTCTTCGGTGTCGCTAGAACTAGAGCTAGCGGTGAATGAGTCTTTGGAAGATGATTCTTCCGAGTCGGTATTAGAAAATTTACTTTTCAACCGCTCGAAAGTTTGTTCTATTTCTGGGTTTTTGTGATATGTGATTTCGTTTATGGAACGATGTTTAACCATAAACTCCACTAAGCTCAGAAATTAGAAAAATAAACACTCTTTATATTTTTGTTTGATATATATTTTTTTTTGGTTTTTCTTGATATGAAATAAAAGAAAAATTAATTGCCTTTCCCTGGTAACGACGCCAAATTTGACGTGCACTTGTCGTTAGGTGCACTCAAAATAAATTCAATACTAAACACTTATACGTAGTATAGTGTAGTAAGGTTCGTATCCACAGGGAAAGGAATACTTTTCTTTTATATAAGCAGTAACAAAAGGGGGGGGGGGTTTAGATTTGTTTGATTTAAAAACACAAAGATAAACAAACTATATGAGTTTAATTCAATGAGATGAGGACTAGGCTTTGCTTTTATCCACTTAATGAAATGTTCGTCGATCCCGGTTATATCTTTAACTATCTTCCTCTCGAATACTCAATCGAGGAGTATATGACGAGCACTTTGTCAAGGTGCGTCAACATAAATTCAATACTAAACATTTATACGTAGTATAGCGTTGTAGAGTTCGTATCCACAGGGAAAGGAATATTTCTCTTTTTATGATACTTAGTAAATAAAAGGGGGGATTTGGATTGAGTGATTTAATTTAATTAAGAACTAAGATGAACAACCTATATGAGATTTAATTCAAAGATAAAAAGGACTTGGCATTGCTACTTTCCACTTGTTGATATATTTTAGTCGATCATTGTTATATCTATAACTTATTCCCTCCCGAATACTCAATCGGGGAGTATATCCACTTCATCGAGGGTAGTTATTAACAACAACCGTTCATTAATAACCCTTACTATTAATCAAATATAGAATAACGCCTTATACCGATTTAATAGTAGCATTTAATCTTTCTAACTCTTTGATGAAATCAATTGAGATTGATAACCTCAACGCAATGGTTTCGGTTTAACCAACAAAATTAATCCCTCTTAAGTTTATTAACCACGACCGTGCATTAATAAACCGAAGTTACTTACTTTTGAAACCATCAACGATTAACCATCGGTTCGTTGATCGTTTCTAGTAATAATTAATATATGAAACAAAACTAGTTGATCCTTTAAGTAATGTTCAAAATATTAATATGAAATATGAGTAGGGATTAATTAATATTAAGGGAAGAATATTATTAAAGAAGATGAATCCTACTATAATTAATATCAAGATGTTAACTAATTGTCATCTTAGCAACACTCCCCAATATTGATATAGAGGAAGAAAATATCATTCTAACTAATGTCGAGATGTTAACTAATTGTCATCTTAGCAACACTCCTCAACATTAATATAGAGATTGTATTAAGGAAAGAACTATTAATTAATATTCAAGGAAAGAAGTAAAGAAAATAACTCACAACTTTAATAATCAACAAGCTTCAAGAGCAACACCAAGAATGGAAGTTTAGCTCCTCATTTGGAGACTAAACTTAGCTAGAAAAATATAAAGAAATGCTATTCTAGACTGAGCTAAAGAGTATGGAAGAAGGGATGATTTTTTGTGAAGAAAAAGTGTGCTATTTATAGGTGTTTTTCAACACCTTTGGCCGGGTACCCGACCGGGTCAAGTACTCACCCGACCGGGTCCGGTCAAAATCAGATATTTCCCCACGTTCTGGTGATCTTTGCACACCGGGTTGTCCACGGTCACTTCTCGCCCGACCGGGTGAGGTATGGGGCCCGACCGGGCCCAGCTGTTTCCTCAGTGCTTCGGTTTTCAAATCAGACCCGACCGGGTGCAATTTCCTTTCCGGTCGGGTATTTGCTCCTGGACAGTTAAAATTCCTTTTTCTTCACTTCAACATCCTCCTTTCCAACATCCTAATTCCTAATTCTACTTTAAAACTTACAAATGAGAACTAAAATACAATTACAATTAAAATCACACAACTGTTTACAAACCAAATAAAACGTCAAACAATCACCATCAATGAAACATAAAAACATACAATTATGCACTACTAATTAGTGTGCATCAGTATATCCAGTTCATCGAGGGTAGTTATTAATAACGAGATGCGTTCATTACTAAAACTTACTATCGAGTCAATATAGAACAAGCGCCGTATATTAACTTGATAGTAGCAATAAACTTAAGATGAAAACGATTGAGATTGATAACCTCAACACAAGCGGTTTATTGGTTCAATCAATATAATTAATTCCCCTTGGCATATTAACCATGAGATGCATGCATTAATATTCCAAGTTTACTACCGTTGAAAGAACCGGATTAATAACAAGCGTATTAACCGATTGATTCTAGTAATAATTAATATGAGAAACAATACTAGTTGATACTTTAAGTAATGTTTAAGATATTAACATGAAATATGAATAGGAATTAATTACTACTCAAGCAAGAATATTAAAGAATATGAATCCTACTATGATTAATATCAAGATGTTAACTAATTGTCATCTTAGTAACACTCCCCAATATTAAGGAAGAAAGAGCGCCTGAAAAAAGGAAAAATGCGTGTTGAGAGCGTCTCTCTCTGGAAACACCGTTCCAGACTCACGCATCAGGATGGCCAACCCAGATTTTTCGATTGAGCTTGGTTCTTGGAGTTCGTTGGAGGAAGTTGAAACCTTTGGGCCTTTCCGACCTCGACTTGGTCATTGGAATACTGATTTGCGAATTCATTTTAGGAGGTGCCGAGCGATAATTGGAATCTATGCGCGAAGGTTACTGTTCACAGGATTTCATTCGCAGGTTTTTTCAGTACAGATTTGGGTTTCAGTAAATTAGTTGATATAGTTGTCGATTACTGGTCTATCCGAACGACCTAGGGTACCTGGTTTTTGTTTTTCTGCACTCTCGTTTTTTAGGTCTGAAAATCGGAAATGCGGAAAAATAATCGAGAAATGGGGGGAAACACCAGGATGCGAACTACTCGAGCTTCTTCGAGATTTGATGTGTTGGGAGATATTGATGTTGAATTCCCAATCCTAAATAAGGAAAAACCTTCTGTGAACTTGGTGAATATGAACGAGTTTCCCCCAATTCATACCTCGGTGCAGCAGGGGATTGACCACAAGAACAGGGCTGCGAGTTCGGCAACTGCTGTATCTCCTGCGTCACAAACTAGTGCTGCAACACTTGATACATCTGCTGTATCACCTGTGATTTCTGTTCCAGAAAAGGAGGTGACCAATGGGACTACTTCTACACCGACTGTGAAGGATCCTCCTAGGGCTGAACAGACTGTTTTATCACCAAAACAATTGGCAGAGAATGCACAGATTGAACCTAGTTCTGGCCATCATGATGGATTGAGGGTTGCTAAAGCAGGAGGTTCAGCTGCTACAGGGGGATTTCAAGCTGATGAAGTGCAGCCTATTACTGAAGTTGGGCGACTTGGACAATTTACCGAAACTCTGGGAAAAACAAGGACTGCTGTTAACAAAACTGCTGCTACTCCTGGGTTGACGCCAAGTGGAGAAGCAGGGGACAGAAAGGGGAGAAAGGAGCCGGATATAGTTGCTATTACTGCCAATTTGGAAATACCACCAAAGGAGAAAGCATGGTCATCCCTTTTCAAGGATAACCGAGACCCTTCAAACGGCCTAAAATTGAGGTATATTCCGCCGAAAGGCAAATCCTTAGACTTCGGTGATAGAATATTGCCCTCTATGATTGAGATGTGGGGATTTTGTCTTGTTGGATATATTACCGGAAAATTTCCCGGACTTAAGGCCATTTATAACTTGAAGAATACCTGGGGTGTTAGTTGCCAAATCAAAACACATGCTAAGGGATGGATTATTTTCAAATTCCAAAATGATGGGGATAGAGAAAAAGTGTTGAATGGGGGTCCCTATACCATTTTTGGAATGCAACTATTGCTAAAATCACTTTCAGAGGACTTCTCCTTCGATGATGATGAATTTCTTAAAGTCCCCATTTGGGTTAAATTTCCCAATCTACATATGAAACTATGGAATGAAGAGGCTATGAGCGAGGTTGCATCTATGGTAGGGGTCCCGCTTTCTACGGACAAGGTCACTCAAAATAGGAGCAATCATCATTTTGCTAGAGTTCTAATTGAGGTGGATGTGTCTAAACCGCCCCGGTTATCATTTCCTATACGATTACCTTCTCGTAAAGTAGTCAATCAAATGGTGGTTTATGAAACCTTCCCCAATTTCTATTTCCATTGTAAAATGTATGGGCACCACCCTTTCATTTGCAAAAAATTGGCATCAAAAGAACGAGACTTGGCTATTGTTGATAAGAAGGAGGATACTGTGAATGAGGTTTCTCAAGTGGAAATTGTGGAAATTGCTGTACCTGCTGCCCAGCCAGCTGCCCAGGAGCCTCCAGATGTTGCTGCTCACCCGACCGGGTGCTGCTCTGACCCGACCGGGTCTACTGGACAGACACTGTCCCAGGGGCCTGCCAGCGCTAATTTGGGCGCTAGTTTGCACACTGACCAAGGGATTGCAGAGACCGAGACTGTTGCCCAGGGGACTAATACGACTGTTGTGCCCGAATCAGATAGGGATGATGACACAGAAGATGAGGAATCCGATAATGAGCCGAAAGATGAGGAGGAACAGAGAATTCTTGACGAATACTGGGAAAAAATTACAAAATATAAGAAGATGAAGAAAAGGATGATAGCTGAGCCTGCTCTAATAGGTTTAGTCTAATTTGATACTGTTTTTGTATGGTTGTTTGTGTTTTGATTCCTCTGTTTAGGTGGATGTGGGGAATGCCCATTATGTTGTTGATGCTTTATATTTAGGTTAGATCCATCTAACTTAGATAGTCTTCTCAGGCTTTGTGTGATACATTGTAAAATGTTACTTTTGGGTGTCTTTTATATATACTTACATTTCATCCAAAAAAAAACATAGAGGAAGAAATAGCTATTACTATAACCAATGTCAAGATGTTAACTAATTGTCATCTTAGTAACACTCCCCAACTTTGATATAGAGATAGTATTTTAAAGGAAGAATTAATATTAAAGGAAGAAGATTAAAGAAAATAACTCACAACTTACAAATTCATTAAGCTTCAAAGTAGCAAAACCAAGATGGAAGAGTTTAGCTCCTCATTTGGAGACTAAACATGATGAAAAATATAAAGAAAGAACTATTCTATACTGAGCTTAGATGTACAAAGAAATTGGATATCTTTTTGTGAAGGAAAGGAGGTGTATTTATAGGCTTTTGGGATGGGATTCGGGTACTCGATCGGGTATATACATGGTACCCGATCGAGTATGTGTGTAATACTCGATCCGAGGTATACTCGATCGGTTTCAGGTTGTCTTCCATAAGTATACCCGATCGGGTATATATTAATACCCGGTCGAGTATGCTTTAGAAAATGGTATTCGGACCATACTCGACCGATCTTCATTTAAAACTCAAAGGCATACCCGATCGGGTATGTCGGTCTACCCGATCGGGTATAGACATTAAATCGTGGCCGAAATCCTCCCGGCATGTTCCCTTGTCTTCGGATCTGATCCGATTTGAAGTTCCAATCTAATACCCGATCGAGTATAGTTAATACTCGACCGAGTATAGACCAAAATTCAGGATCTTCTTTTGTCTTCAAATTTTTGCACCTTCTTTCCACTCTTTGGGTTCACCAACTGTACTTCGAGTGATCAAGACCTGTTTGAGCTCAGAATATATCTAATCTAACCTATTTACAAGAATTTAACAAACTAATCTATTACACCAAAAGTGTGTAATTTCCATAGTAAAGATCAAGCAAAACTAATTAAAAACACAAACATAAATATGGAAATTCCAATGCAAAATCCTCTATGTCGTTTTCTATTGAGCTTAGTACTTCATCCTTTCCCTCAATTTCAAATACATCTTGGACCCAAGTGTCGCAAGTGTCAATCGCAAATAGAGAGTGATTATCAGTGGGGTATTTCATGGAGTCGTAGATATTAAATTCGACTTTTTCACCATCGAACTCCATGGTTAACACTCCACTAAAAACGTCAATTTTTGCCTTGGCCGTTTTCAAAAAAGGTCTGCCTAGTAAAATTGGGACTGCATTTTTATCGTTCTCCATTTCAAGAACGTAAAAATCAGCGGGAAAGATTAAATTATCCACCATGACGAAAACATCCGCTACCACACCTTTTGGGTAGGCATTGGATCGATCGGCAAGTTGGATAACGACCCCCGTCTCATGTAAAAGTCCTAGTTCTAGGGACTTATATAGAGAATATGGGATGACATTGATTGCTGCACCCAAATCTAACATGGCCCTAGAAGAACTAGAATTTCCAAGTTTACATGGTATAGTGAACATTCCCGGATCACTATACTTTTTAGGCAGTTTCTTTTGAAAAACGGCCGACACTCTTTCACTTACTTGGATTTTATGCTTGCTATTCAACTTGTGTTTCCTTTTAATTGTGCAAAGTTCTTTTAAAAACTTTGCAAACCTAGGAACACCTTTTATTAAATTGAGAAGAGGGATATTTACCTCACATTTGCTGAAGGTCTCAATAGATGTCTTTGTCATTGTTGTATTTCCGGTTATCCTTGAGAGCCTCCGGAAAAGGTGGCACCGGCTCATATGAGTTGAGCGGTGGGAACTTTCTTTGAGGTGTGATCTCCTCCTCTTTTTCCTCTTCATTTTGAGGGTTTGTGCTTGGCATCAAGATCTCCTCCTCCTCTTCTCCCACATGGCTCTTTGTTTTTGCCTTAGCCATAACCAATTCTTTGCCACTTCTCAAAGTGACCGCATGAGCTTGTTGCCTTGGATTCGGCTCCGTTTGAGATGGGAGTTTTGCCGAATCCCTAGCTTCTAGCCTACTCACGGCATTTGAGATTTGGCTCATTTGGCTTTCCAAGTTGTGGATGCTAGATTTTGTTGTTTCTTGAAATTGGGCCACACTTTGTTGCATCGTAGTCATATTCATGGCTAATGCTCGAATCATGTCTTCAGTGGACATGCTTGAGTTCGATGTTTGGCCTTGTTGTTTATATTGTTGAGGAGGGGGAGGGTTTGATTGTTGAGGGGGTTGAGAGTTTCCATACCTTATATTTGGATGATCCCTCCATCCTGGATTGTAGGTGTTGCCGTGAGGATCGTACCTCCTTTGGCCTTGGAATCCCACATCATTGACTTGCTCGGAGTTCTCCTCTTGTAAAGTTGGGCAAGAATCTGTGGGATGCCCTTGTGTTGAACAGATGCCGCAAACCTTGACTTCTTGGGTTTTTGGATTTAAAAGGAAATCTTTAACCAAAGAAGTCAAGCCGGCTACATGACTCTCCAACGAGTTGTTGGATTCCGCTGCCATGACTCTCTTTGTTGACCACCGATCATAGTGTACAATTTTCGGCCAACTCCGAGATAAGATTCCTAGCTTGAGAAGGAGTTTTGTTGACTATCCCTCCTCCACATGCAGCATTGATCATCCGTCTATCATCATCACAAAGACCATCATTTTTTGGGGAAATGTAAATATATAGGTAGTAACCGAGTTTATGTACATCATATGAGCAAAATTTGAGGCATATCCAAGCAAGGATACCCTATAACTTCAAAAGCTGTAGAGTTTAACTTCTAAGCACTATCATCTAGCAAAAACAATAGCCATCACCTCATGACAAAAAACAGGCTAGTTTCTAATTCAAAAAGGTATCATGTGATACGGATATAGCGAGAATAGAACTTTGTAAACCATATACTTAATGTGTGCAATTGTGTCATCCAGCTTTGGTGATGCTCCATCAAACCGAATCGCATTTCTAGTCCTCCATATCCAATAGATTGTGTAGCTGAAAGCTATCCGTGTAGCCTTTGCTCTAATATGTGCTCCTTTGCAATCTCTTGAAATCCATTTCACCGCACTCCTCAACGAAGACATTTGCCTAGAGATTCCGAGCCATCCTTTAATACTCTCCCAAATCTGGCCTGTACAAACACATTCAAAAAATAGGTGTGGTACCGTCTCCGGACCACCCTTACAAAAAGGACAAACATTAACAATATCAAGATACACCATGTTGTCATACGTAGGTAGCCTATTACGATAGGCCAGCCACATTATGAAAGAAAACTTGGGTGGGATATAGGCTTTCCAAATGAAAGACATCCATGCATGGGTTGTTCCTTTCATCCTAAGAAGGTCATATACCTTAGAAGAGCAAAGCTTACCATTGTGAGCCATCTTTCCAAGGTTAGAAATGGTCTCGGGTATAGAGGGGTATTTAGATACCATGGAGTCTCGGATCAGAGCAATTCTCTTCAACAATTGAGAGTCCCTATTGTGTGGAACAAAAGTCCACACATCTCTCCCATGAAGATAGACTCCATTTACCCATCTTACCCAAAGTGTGTCCTGTTTTTCATGTATATTCCAAAGTGTACGAGACAGCAATGCATTATTCCAAACCTTTGTATCTCTTATTCCTAATCCCCCTTCCTCTTTTGGTAAACATACATCTTCCCATGCAACTTTAGCATGTTTACCCCCCCACAAAAAAATTCTACATAGACTAACAATTCTATCCAAGATGGTTTTGGGAACAGGAAAGATACCTAGCCAAAAAGACTGCACCCCTTGGACGACTGACTTAATCAACTCAACTTTCCCAGCATAAGATAAGGACTTAGTATTCCATGCATTAAAATAATCTGTGACCGTATCAATCAAAGGAGAGAATTGGGCAACAGAGATCTTTAGAGGAGCAAGTGGAATACCAAGATACCTTACCGGAAAGGATCCTTGTTGAAAGTCCACCAATTGTAATATGGATGGCAGTTTTTGTGCAATGTTCCCCCCCACAAAAATATTAGATTTGTCTTGGTTCACTAGTAAACCCGAGACCCTGCCAAACTCATTTAAAGCATCAACTAGAATCTTAATAGACTTAGGCTCCCCTTTTGAAAATAGCATTAAGTCATCGGCATAGGCTAAGTGTGAGATCTTTAGTTTGGAGCATAAGGGATGATAGTTAAAATTAGGATTTGAGGTCCTAATAGCTAACATCCTAGACAAGTATTCCAAACATAACACAAATAGCATGGGAGACATAGGGTCACCTTGTCTTAACCCTCTTTTCCCTTCAAACCAGCCATGTAAGTTCCCATTTATGGATATTGAAAAAGAAGAAGTAGTCACACACTCCATGATCCAATTAACAAAAATGTTGGGCAGCCCAATTCCCTTTAAAACCTTTTCCAAGAAGTTCCAAGAAATAGTATCATATGCTTTCCTAATATCAACCTTAATCATGCACCTCGGAGAGACCCTCTTTCTAGTGTATCCCCTCACCAATTCTTGAGCAAGGAATATGTTATCAGTCATTTGTCTACCATCCACAAAAGCACCCTGTGATGGATCAACTACACTAGAAAGACATGGGCCAAGCCTTGATGCTATAATCTTGGTTATGATCTTATAAGTCACATTTGTACATGAAATGGGTCTAAAATCAGAAACCGAAGGAGAATGAGAGGTTTTAGGAATAAGGGCAACAATGGTGTGGTTAACCTGTTTAAGCATATTCCCCGATTCAAAAAACTCCTTAACAGCCGCACACACATCCTCACCCACCTTTCCCCAATTAGATTTGAAAAAGGCTGATGAGTATCCATCCGGCCCCGGGGCTTTATCATTTCCAATATCAAATAGAGCTTCTTTGATTTCCAAATCAGACACGGGTCTAATTAGGTTGTCAAAAGAAGATTGGTCAATGGTGTTACCCGAAGCCATAATATTTGTATCAAAATCAAAAGAAGGTACCTCCGTGCCAAAAAGATTTTTGAAAAATATAATAAATTCCTTTGCAACCTCGTCCATTGATTGGGTGAGAGACCCATCTTGTAACCGAATAGATGCAATTGCATTTTTGGCTTGCCTCTTTTTTACAATTGAGTGGAAGTACTTTGTAC